TAGGATATGTTTTAGGGTTTGATAGTTTTCCTATTCTTGTTATACTAGGAATAGAAGGTGATGCCGCCGTCGCCGGACAAACCACCCGCGACGGCGACCGCAGAAGCAACGATTTAGAGTAAACTAGGGTTTAGGTTCCCAGGTTGGCTCCGATACCATGTAGAAAATAATAATGCAGAATAATTTTGTATTGAATTGTCTTGGCGATTACAAAGATTCAACCCTCTTTATATAGATAGAGAGTCAAACAAATAAGTAAAGTTCTATTCCTACCATAATTCATAATTCTATTCCTACTATAACAAGAATAGGAAAACTATCAAACCCTAAAACATATCCTAACAAGTATGAATTAAAAGAGAGAATGATACAACATCATTTAAAAGGACATAGCCACCGTGCCTCCGGTAAAGATCAGAAGAATCAGATAGCGTTATGCGGTGGCGGCGGCGGCGGTAATGGTTGAGGTCACTGCCGGCAATGCGGAGGGCTCCTCCTAGGTGGGCAGGTGCAGGTTTTGGTGATGTTCGGACTGTTGCGGGTCGCTAGTATTCTGCAATTGGACTGATTCTTGGTCCGGTTAATTATTTACTTGGATGTGCCGGTTTGGGTTTAGAGCAAGTATTGTTTATGACATGATAATAAATTTTACTATCATTTAAAATATTTTATACAAATTAAACATTTTATAAAAATGGAAACTAAAAACGAATAAATATGAATTGTGTAAAATGAATAGAAATGTATAGTGTTTTCCTATAGAGAGTATGATAAAAATAGTGGAATAAAATATTAGAGAACTAATTTATATATGACTTCTTTTTATATTTTATAATTAAATTTTTAGTCATTTCATAATATATATGACTATTTAATAATATTTTTATATGATAATGATATATATTACTTATGTGATTATTATTGTTGTTGTTATAACCATCATATTATATTTTATTTAATTTAGTCAGTAGTCATACTTAAATTTTAATGCGCATGTGTGGCATGACATGTGTTGTATGGAATACATATGACGTTTTCCTATACAAAAAAAACTATTAAAAAATTATTTTCTAAAAATTTATAATAACATGAAAAATTTAGTTTGTTTAGAAAATATACAATTAAATTAAAATGGAAATAAATAATTTTCTAAGTGAAGATGCGCATGCATTTAAAAGTAATAAAATAAATTGTGAATAGTTTCAAAAATTTATAAGTAATTATATATATATATATATATATATATATATATATATATATATATATATATATATATATTTAAAATTACTTATAAATTTTTGAAACTATTTACAATTCATTTTGGTATGATTGAAAGGGTTTTCATTATCATCGCAAACTAACATTTTTAATCATGTCTTTGTCTTCACTAGTGAAACAATAATATAAAACTGACCATCGACTTCGATAAAAATAATCCAACAAAAAAAATATGTGACCTTGATCTTTGTTGATAGTTATAGAAAAACATAAGACTATTGAGACTCGTCTTTTCTGGAACTCTTGGGATAGTCCTGGATGAGATAGTACCAAGTTCATCCGGGATATGCAAACTTTTTCCCCAACCCAATTTTACGAAATCACAATAGCACCGATAACGTTCTTTCGCAGTTCTTCAACATAACCGATACCTCCTTTTTAAAACTATTTTGGGAGATAAGATTCTCGAAAATTTAATTCATTCAAAACTCAATTGTTATTCAATCATCATCAATATTACATCTGAATTTGTCTAGCATGCATAATCAGAACGCAAGTACTCTATTTCATTTTTTTGGATGAGGAACATGACAAATTAATTTACCATTTCTACAACCTCAAGTGTGTGTGCCGATAACCATCTTTCGTTACATTGTTCTTACATTGGTGTTATCAAAGCAGAGAAGTAATAAATTTTTGTAGTAGACAGTTCGATTAATAAATAACCAAAAATATTACTTTTTATGAACTCAAATTGCTAGTGATTTTTTTCAAGAGTATAGAAGTGTATAAAAATTAATAATAAGCTCAAAGATGTGAACCTTTTGCATTTAATATAGATAAGGCGTGTGTTGTATAAAAAGGCATTAGGGACCATATATAATATTTTTTTTGCATTTTAATATTCATAGTGTTACCACTTATATTAAACATTTTTATAACTTTTATTATAATTTTTAAATTCTATATATTTTTCTACGAATAAATTGTGTACCGTTTAAGCATATAACAATTACTTTTTATCTAAGAATTTAGCATAATTGTTATTAGACTTAGAATATTTTTTATTGTACACAAAATATCATTAATGCTCTATTAAATAAACATGCGAATAAAAATCCTTTTCTTTTTATATACTTGTTTCACTTTTTTCGAAATTGGAAACTAATGCTTTAAATATTAGTTTATACTCCCTCCGTCCCATTTTAAATTGTCTGTTTGCCTTTTTTCTCCGTCCCAAAATAAATTGCCTGTTAGTTGTTTTCGTAAACTATTAAAAATAAAATACCTAAACTACCATTAAAATAAGTCATTCTTTTTCACATTATCTTCTCATTCATCATTACCCCTCTTAAAAAATAATGTCAATTTTGAAAAATCAACTCTATTTTTTATTTTCCTTAAATATGCCCAAAAGTCAAAACGGACGATATAAATTAGGACGGAGGGAGTAATAATAATGTTATTATTATTATACGTAGCTCAAATCCTTAATTTACATTTTTATTGAGGTTGTGAATATGAGGTTCCAAACCCAAACTTACATTTTTATTTTTCAAAATTATTAAAAAAATAAATTTTATTTTTTTTCTTTCAATTTTTAAGAAAAAGTATTTGAGTATAATTTTTTTAAATTTCAAACACACATTTTTTAAATTTTTACATCACTTTAATTAGCTTTTGTTTATTTTTAGCGTATTCAAATTTTATCAATAGAATAAAATTTGATTTATTGTCATTTTTTATTTAAAAAATTGTGTCATGAATATATATTTTAGTTAAGATTGTAGAGTCACAAAAATTATTAAACTTTAAATTAATTAATTTATAATTTTCTTTGTGATTTTGGAATTTTTGTTTACTATGTTTCGTGTTCTTATCAATGTTTTAAAATTTTGACCAAAATAATTGTGCACGCTGTTTTTTTCAGTAAACATTGCATGACTTTTAAATGTGTACAAACTAATAATTTTAATGTGTAAGGTCATGTTCTTCCCAACTTACGTTTTTTACTTATTACTTATTTTTATTGGAATGACAACAGATCAGATCAGATCAAAAATAGCTTTAAATATAAGTATATTCAAATCATATCAGAACTAATCAGATCAAGTGAAGAGAACATGGTCTGAGTTCTTAAGAACATTTTAATGGTATGTGCTTGAAAAGTTGCTTAACTTAAACAACTGTATTTTATGATAAGTTTTCATTAGAGATGATCTAGGTGGCACCCATAATTGCTTACAAATTAGAGTGTCTTTAATAATATTCTTCATTGGAATTGTGTGTTGTTTGCATTATCATTAGAGCAAAATATATGTAACTTGCTTATGAAGTCGCTTAGATGATGTGGCCTTGGACCATTTAAGATACAAAATATGTCTCTTAAACTCCTCCCACTAAAGATGCTCTAAGCATATGCTAAAAAAATGTTCACACATCAATTTAATATGGAAAAAAAGTAATTGTGTAAAATTAATCTTGTTTATGCCTATTTTTCTTTTTCCCTCATTATTTTAGAATATAAATTTTTCCTAATAAATATAAGAATATGAATTTTTTAGAAATAAAAATTACTCAAACCCTTGCACGCACTGACCCCTAACCAAATTCGAATAAATTTGCACCATTTTTTATGCATTTTTATCTTTTTCCCTCCTTTATATTATTTAAATCCATTTTTTTCAACTAAGATATACAAAAAGTAATGACTCATTTCTCTTTTTATTTCTATTACATGATTAGTGACATACAACTGAACAGCGAAAAATTGTATGATTGATATTGATTTTAAAAAGTAATGAAAGAGTATGGGTCACACAAAAAATTACAAATACGAATTTGGATAAAATATAATGATGTAAAAGAAAAACTAAAAAGAGAATAAAAATTAAAAAAGTAGAGTGTACATTTTTTTAAATAAAATATGAAATTTATAAAATATAATATTTATTTTAACATTTTTTAAAAAGTTTTTTAAAAACTTTCCAACTCTTTTAGTTTCTTCAAACTCCTTCTAGCTTTTCTAACTTCTTCCCGTTTCTTCCAACTCCTTTTATTTTTTTTTCAACTCCTATTTTCTTCTAACTCTTAGTTTCTTCCAATTCCTTCCAATTTTTTCCAACTCCTTCCTATTTCTTTTAACTTTTTATAGTTTCTTCCAATATTCAACTTTGTGTTTCCAATCGAAAAAACAGAGCCTAAAAACCATATTTAAGCTTTTTCTTTATTACAAAGTAATTTGTCAATCTATTTATTCTTTTAAGTTATGACTTCTGAGTCTAAAATAAACTTTAAAACTATTTGTTATTGCTTCTACTTAAAACTTTTATTTCTTCATTAATTTATGACACTTCCAAATAAACAACTTTTTTAGGGTAACAGATAAAAAAAATTTGAGTCATTTGAAAAATAAAATTTTCCCTATCCACAGACATTTCCTTAAACATTTTTTGTATAAAAATTATTTTTGGGTAAGAAAAATATCTTTTAAAATATTTTTTTTGTACATCGTTTGACACACAAAATATTTTTGAGTCTCGTTTCCTCACCCAAACTATCAATCCTTCATTCGAACTATTTGAATTACTTTGATGGTGATTGGGAGCCTTATATACTCTCCTTTTTGTTGGGAGCAAAAGGATTTTGATAAAAATCATCCATCTCCTCGCACATGGCTATTTTCATGTTGTTTGTGCATTATTCACGTTAAAAATCAATTATCCCACTTTGTCAAAAACTGATTTTTCATCTCATACCCAAAAGGGTTTTGCCTAGGCATTAAAAATCAATTATTCACTTTCGGGAAAAATCGATTAGCATTTTCCTCCTTGATGGGCCGATATCCAGAGGACGGCCCAAATGAACCATTTGAACAGCTTCGGGTCAAGCACCTGTGAAATACTCAAGCTGGGCCGGCCCAAGGAGCTGGGCCTAGTTAACCTCAGGCCAAGCGCAGCTGGCAGAGTCAATCCGGAGAAGGAGACAGAGCTGATGGGCCGTTACGGAGCCGGGAAAAGGGGATCGCGCCCTTGGCGGGATAGACTCCATCGGTTATGCATTACCTTAATTGTTTAGAGCTCATGTATAAATAGAGGGGACCCGAAAGGGGAGAACTCAAGCTAAATCAAGCTGGTAATACACGTCCAATTCTCGAATTCTTGTTCTTAGTTTTGTTCTTACGATCCGCTCTGTAAACCGGATCATTTGGTGGATTTATTGTCCATCAAATTGGTGCTCTCGTTGAGAGTTCGAGAATCATACTCAGAAGAAATCCTCCACAACGACGATGGTGCAAACACGTAGCAACGCCAACGTAGGTACCGGAGTTCCCCAACAGGGGGAGAACAGCACCACCGGAGGCCGGCACCCCCCCCATCACCACCGGGGAGGCTGAGGCCCTCATTCAGAGGGTTGGGATCACGGCCGAACAATTCAAGGAGGTGCTGGCCGCACTTGCGCCCAACCGCGAGGTTGTGGTAGGAGATGTGGCTAGGGGACCCACAGGCGAGAAGGCTGGACCTGCAGGCTCCCAAGGAAAAAAGAAAAAAGTGAGGCGGTCCCAAAAGAAGAAGGCGACCAAGCCTAATGGGAAGGCTATGATGGCAGATGCGCTTTCCAGGCTGGAAGAAGAGGACGAGTCGTCCTCCTTCGAGCGGATGTCTGCTTTTGACCGTTTGGGAGACCCCAAGTCGAAGAAACCTCGGACCTCTGCGTTCGAAAGGCTGCAGGACACTCGGTCGGCCCGAAAAGGCGACTTGAGAGACACGCTCAAGAAGAAGAGAGGGGAGTCCACAGCGACCTCCAAGGTCGGTTCTGAGGAGCGACGGAGACAGTCGGGGATAAGGGCGCAGCCGAGCTGTAGAAAATGTACGAACAACTAGAGAAGCGGCTGGATGCCCAGAACCCCTATCGCCAGGCGGTCTTCAGTGAGGTAACGCCGTTCTCCAGAAGGATAATGTCCTGCCCTCTCCCAGATAATTTCAAGACTCCCCAGATCAAGGCATACAACGGGACGACCGATCCCCAAGACCACCTCGCTCGCTTCGGGGCCAACGTGGTCATGTACGCATATCCAGAAGAAATCAAGTGTCGGTGCTTCCTGGCGACACTGGAAGGGCAGGCTTGTGAGTGGTTTCACAAGTTACCCAAGGGGTCGATAGATAAGTGGGGCGACCTGGCCCACAAGTTCTTGGAGCACTTCGCATCCAGCCGGAGACAAAAGCTCCCCTTCTCGCATTTGCTCAATGTGAAGATCCGGAAGGGGGAACAGCTCCGGGAGTTCATTAATAGGTGGGAGAAGGAGGCTAGGGATGTCCAAGGGGCGGACGACCAAGCCCTGATCGCCATGCTNGGGGAGTCCACAGCGACCTCCAAGGTCGGTTCTGAGGAGCGACGGACGACAGTCGGGGATAAGGGCGCAGCCGAGCTGTGGAAAATGTACGAACAACTGGAGAAGCGGCTGGATGCCCAGAACCCCTATCGCCAGGCGGTCTTCAGTGAGGTAACGCCCTTCTCCAGAAGGATAATGTCCTGCCCTCTCCCAGATAATTTCAAGACTCCCCAGATCAAGGCATACAACGGGACGACCGATCCCCAAGACCACCTCGCTCGCTTCGGGGCCAACGTGGTCATGTACGCATATCCAGAAGAAATCAAGTGTCGGTGCTTCCTGGCGACACTGGAAGGGCAGGCTTGTGAGTGGTTTCACAAGTTACCCAAGGGGTCGATAGATAAGTGGGGCGACCTGGCCCACAAGTTCTTAGAGCACTTCGCATCCAGCCGGAGACAAAAGCTCCCCTTCTCGCATTTGCTCAATGTGAAGATCCGGAAGGGGGAACAGCTCCGGGAGTTCATTAATAGGTGGGAGAAGGAGGCGAGGGATGTCCAAGGGGCGGACGACCAAGCCCTGATCGCCATGCTCCAAGCTGCACTCCCCCAAGGGGATGTGCGTAAGGAGCTGCGACGGAATCCTCTCTCGGCCTATCAAGAGATGTTGGCCAGGGCGAAGTACCTGGCGCTGGAAGAGGAAGATGATGAGCCACCAGTCCGGAAGGAGAAGAAAAGCAGGCCACCGGTGGCAAAAGGAAAGAAAAGGAAGGATTATGGTAAGGGACCGAACCCCACCGGGTATCATGCGAACAGGCATCCCGTTCACGCGGTACAGTCGTTTCCGGCCCCTCCTCATGGTCGGGAAAGCTATGGTGTGCAAGATGCACCCAAATACTGCGAGTACCACCGTAACAGCACCCATAACATGTCGGAGTGCGTTACGCTGAAGAAGGAGATGGATCAGCTGATCGCTAGAGGGCCACCTCCTCGGTCAGAGCGACCGTCCACAAGTAACCGGACCTGGAGGAGGCCGCCAGCCCCCACGGCAGCGATCACAGCAGAAGAGGGGCAAGAAGATGGACGGCGGCACCTAGGGCGAGATTGTGATGACCTAGATGAGAAGGAGAGGCAAGGTCGCCGACACCTGGGGTGTCGGTTCATCATGGGAGGAAACACTTGAGGAGATTCGATATCCTCCCGGAAGAAGTGGAAGAACATGGTGTACCTGGCCGATGTACAAAGGTCACCGCTACCTAAGCGAAAGAAGAAGGAACCTCTGATCTTTGACGAGGATTATCCCCCAGTCCTCAGCCCTCACAGGGACGCTCTGGTGATAAGAGTGGAGATCAATAATGTGGTTGTTCACCGAACCTTGGTCGATACGGGCAGCTCGGTCAACGTAATGTACAGCAACACCTTTAAGGAGTTGGGATTGCCCCGAAGCGACCTGAAACCAATCCATACGCCGCTGTCAGGATTTACAGGGGATACTATCGAAGCAGAAGGAACTATCACGGTAAAGGCCGGGGTAGGAGATGGCACCCACCGACTCTGGGTCGACATGGAATTTATGGTAGTACAGCTCGACTGTGCACACCATCTGATTCTGGGACGACCAGGGTTGGAGGACCTGGAGTGCGTAATCTCCCCCGTCCACTTATGCCTAAAGTTCAACACTCCCACAGGGGTGGGAGTAGCAAAGGGTAACCAGAGCCTGTCACGATCGTGCTATGTCAGGGCGACCAAAAGCCAAGCCCGAGTCGACGAGAATGTGAGCACGATCTGTGCGGCGATCCAGAAGGAGGAGGGGCGACCCCGAGCTGAGCCGGCGGAAGAGGTCGAGGAAGTTTCTTTGGACCCGGTTGAGCCCGAGCGGAAGTTGAAGGTAGGCAAAACCTTACCGCTTGAATTAAAGGAGCAGTTATTGGAGGTCCTCCGAGCATTCAAGGTGCTATTCGCTTGGGGACAAGAGGATATGCCAGGGGTCGACCCAAAAATCATCTGCCATAGATTGGCAGTGGATCCGACCCACAAGCCGGTCAAACAGAAGAAGCGTTTCCTTTCCGCAGAACGGAGAGAGTTTGTCACCAAGCAGGTGACCACCCTGCAGTCCATTGGGCACATCCGGGAAGTCCGCTACCCGGAATGGTTGGAAAATGTAGTCCTCGCACCCAAAGGGAATACCTGGCGGATGTGCGTCGATTACACTGATCTAAATAAAGCTTGCCCGATGGATCCTTTTCCTCTCCCCAACATTGATCAGTTGGTTGATGAGACGGCAGGATGTGAGCTGATGAGTTTCATGGACGCATTCAGTGGATACCATCAGATCAAGATGGCAGTAGCGGATGAAGAAAAGACCGCTTTCATCACCCCCAATGGGGTATACTATTACAAGGTGATGCCTTTTGGTTTGAAGAATGCTGGGGCGACCTAGGCACGGATGGTGAACAAGCTGTTCGCGCCAGTACTAGGGGGGTGCATGGAAGCGTATGTGGACGACATGATTGTCAAGTCCAAACGGACGGAGTCTCATGCTGGCGACCTGGAGAGAGTATTCAAGATCATGAAGAAGTTCCAGCTTCGCCTTAACCCCAAGAAATGCACATTTGGGGTGCAGGGGGGTAAATTCCTAG